GTTTATGGCGACCTGGATGCATATCTCTTTGCACATGAGCAAATGAGCTAATGGTGCGGATCGGTTAGCGACCCGTAGCGTTAGCAACATTAGCCGTTAGCCTTGAATTGTTTACTATTGTTATCACATGTTAATTAGTGACCGATCAGCAGGTTTCAACTGAACCTTTTTAAAAAGAAAAGGTTAGATTTTTGGATGATGACGGCATCATTTATTTTATTATTTTTAACTGAGATTTTTATCAGTCTTTTTTTCCCCAGGGGAATGGAGAAGAAAAACCAATTTCAGAAATTCAAAAATTCATCCAAACAAAAATGAGAAGCACAGATCTGTGATCGGTTAAACTAATATCTAAATAAACAGCATCATCCTTTACAAGAAAAAAAAATCTCTATCAGTCTATTGCTACTTTAAAAACACCTCAACTGGTTTTTCTTTCCTCATAGATTTTCCACCAAACTCAGATCAACTTTATTTCACTTTTTATCTTCAGCCTCCCTGGGAGACGACCGTTTGGTTTGTTAAACAAATATTTTCATAAGATATTTCCATGCAGCTGCCTGTGAGCTTCTTTCCAGTAAACCCGTTAAAGGTTTTGGCGTTGTGGTTGATAAGGTGCATGTTGAGGTGGAGCGACGGCCTCGTGGTTGGAGCAGAACGCTGTGAAACAAGATCCCACTTTCAGAACAGAACCAGAACCCTTCCCCCTGCCAGACCCCTGCCTCGCTCCGATTCACCCAACGTGTTGAATATTTTTAAGGGTTGATTTCAGAGGTGCCACTAATGACCTATATTCTATGCCAAGCAGGACCGGATTTAGGAAAATTGGGGCCCTAGGCAAAGACAGGTAGGGGGCCCTCTGAATTGAGAAGACAACACATAGAACAGACCCATCCTACAGATAGAGAAATGTTAATAGAATAGACATCCATTATCTGTTCTAGGTTGTGTCCCTCTCTTCTTGTCCCTTTTCTTCTTGTTTTCCTCTCTATGTTTTGTACTCAGCTGACTTTTCATGCTGTCTCTAAAGGAATGAAAGA